TTCTAACTCCTCAAACTCCACTGGTTTTTTATGAGTAGTACTCTGATATCCAGTTGGAAAGATCGTGACTGTTATCATTCCTGTGAGCTTGGTTTCCCTGAGTGCTATTATGTTTGCTTGTTATTCCAACTGCGTTGGTGAACCATCCCTTCAGCCTCTCCAAAACTATATTTTTTGGAAGGTTCGTGGGGGCTGGGGGAGTTGGAGACCTTCCACGATACTATGGGAGGCCACTATGTAGGTGGATTTGTGCTGGAAGTGGCTCTGGTAGTATATGTGTTTATGGATCCTTAACTACCTACCTACATTATCATACAAAGTCAGGTGATGTTGAGGTGTCCTGATCTGCCTTCCTTTTATTTTTATAGTTCCTTAATAATGTGAGAAATCACAACAACGCTTGGAATTTTGCTAATTTTTCACATTGGTTATTCTGCATATTGTGATATCACTTGTTTGCTGTGATCTTAAAGCAAAAGATTCGGCAGGAGATGCAATATTTTCCCAATGAAAATCCAGGGAGTCACGAATACACTGAGAGACAACACGATAAATATCAGGGCCCCAAGACTGTTCAATTGCCTTCCAGCATACATAAGTGGGGTTACCAATAGACCCCTGGCTGTCTTCAAGAAGGCTCTGGACAGGCACCTAAAGTCAGTACCTGACCAACTGGCCAGCGGTACCAGCCTGGTTGATCAGACCCTGATCCACCATGAGGCTTGGTCTCAGACCGAACCGCGGGGGCGTTGACCCCCGAAGCCCTCTTCAGATAAACTCCAGGTAAATAGTGACCCTCACATTATTTAGGATCATTTATTACAGTGACCCTCACATTATTTAGGATCATTTATTACAGTGACCCTCACATTATTTAGGATTATCTATTACAGTGACCCTCACATTATTTAGGATTATCTATTACAGTGACCCTCACATTATTTAGGATCATCTATTACAGTGACCCTCACATTATTTAGGATCATTTACTACAGTGACCCTCACATTATTTAGGATCATCTATTACAGTGACCCTCACATTATTTAGGATCATTTATACAGTGACCCTCACATTATTTAGGATTATCTATTACAGTGACCCTCACATTATTTAGGATCATTTACTACAGTGACCCTCACATTATTTAGGATTATCTATTACAGTGACCCTCACATTATTTAGGATCATTTACTACAGTGACCCTCACATTATTTAGGATTATCTATTACAGTGACCTCACATTATTTAGGATCATTTACTACAGTGACCCTCACATTATTTAGGATCATCTATTACAGTGACCCTCACATTATTTAGGATCATTTACTACAGTGACCCTCACATTATTTAGGATCATCTATTACAGTGACCCTCACATTATTTAGGATCATCTATTACAGTGACCCTCACATTATTTAGGATCATGTACTACAGTGATCCTCACAATATTTATATCCTACTTGTACTGTGATCCTCACAGTTCTACTGCAGTAACCTTAACACCATACAGGATCTACCACAGACACCGCTCATTCTATTAAGGTTTTTCTACATCAGTGAAATTCATGCCCTTCAGGTGAGTCAGTGTTATTAAGTTTGCTTCTCCTTACAAGCAACTGAAGACGTTTAGGAGGGTTATTTATATTATTAAGTGGTACATACTCTTCAGTTATACTAACAACCTGACTGCTAACAACCTGACTGGTAACAACATGACTGGTAACAACATGACTGATAACAACCTGACTGGTAACAACATGACTGCTAACAACCTGACTGGTAACAACATGACTGGTAACAACATGACTGATAACAACCTGACTGGTAACAACCTGACTGGTAACAACCTGACTGGTAACAACCTGACTGGTAAAACCTGACTGGTAACAACCTGACTGCTAACAACCTGACTGGTAACAACATGACTGGTAACAACCTGACTGGTAACAACCTGACTGCTAACAACCTGACTGCTAACAACCTGACTGGTAACAACTTGACTGGTAACAACCTGACTGGTAACAACATGACTGGTAACAACATGACTGGTAACAACATGACTGGTAACAACATGACTGGTAACAACATGACTGGTAACAACATGACTGGTAACAACATGACTAGAAACAACATGACTGGTAACAACATGACTGGTAACAACATGACTGGTAACAACATGACTGGTAACAACCTGACTGCTAACAACATGACTGGTAACAACATGACTGGCAACAACATGACTGGTAACAACCTGACTGTTAACAACATGACTGGTAACAACCTGACTGGTAACAACCTGACTGGTTACAACATGACTGGTAACAACCTGACTGGTAACAACATGACTGGTAACAACATGAATGGTAACAACCTGACTGTTAACAACATGACTGGTAACAACATGACTGGTAACAACATGACTGGTAACAACATGACTGGTAACAACCTGACTGGTAACAACCTGACTGGTAACAACATGACTGGTAACAACATGACTGGTAACAACATGACTGGTAACAACCTGACTGGTAACAACTGACTGGTAACAACCTGACTGGTAACAACATGACTGGTAACAACATGACTGGTAACAACCTGACTGGTAACAAACATGACTGGTAAACAACATGACTGGTAACAACATGACTGGTAACAACCTGACTGGTAACAACATGAATGGTAACAACATGACTGGTAACAAACTGACTGGTAACAACCTGACTGTTAACAACATGACTGGTAACAACATGACTGGTAACAACCTGACTGTTAACAACACGACTGGTAACAACATGACTGGTAACAACCTGACTGGTAACAACATGACTGGTAACAACATGACTGGTAACAACATGACTGGTAACAACATGACTGGTAACAACCTGACTGGTAACAACCTGACTGGTAACAACCTGACTGGTAACAACATGACTGGTAACAACATGACTGGTAACAACCTGACTGTAACACCTGACTGTAACAACATGACTGGTAACAACCTGACTGGTAACAACATGACTGGTAACAACATGACTGGTAACAACATGACTGGTAACAACCTGACTGGTAACAACATGAATGGTAACAACATGACTGGTAACAAACTGACTGGTAACAACCTGACTGTTAACAACATGACTGGTAACAACATGACTGGTAACAACCTGACTGTTAACAACACGACAGGTAACAACATGACTGGTAACAACCTGACTGGTAACACATGACTGGTAAACACACATGACTGGTAACAACATGGACTGGTAACAACATGACTGGTAACAACCTGACTGTTAACAACATTACTGGTAACAACATGACTGGTAACAACATGACTGGTAACAACCTGACTGGTAACAACATTGATTGGTAACACCTGACTGGTAAACAACATGACTGGTAACAACATGACTGGTAACAACATGACTGGTAACAACATGATGGTAACAACCTGACTGGTAACAACTGACTGGTAACAGCATGATGGTTACAACTGACTGGTAACAACCTGACTGGTAACAACATGACTGGTAACAACATGACTGGTAACAACCTGACTGGTAACAACATGAATGGTAACAACCTGACTGGTAACAACGTGACTGGTAACCAACATGACTGGTAATAACCTGACTGGTAACAACATGACTGGTAACAACCTGAATGGTAACAACATGACTGGTAACAACCTGACTGGTAACAACCTGAGTGGTAACAACATGACTGGTAACAACCTGACTGGTAACAACGTGACTGGTAACAACCTGGCTGGTAACAACGTGACTGGTAACAACGTGACTGGTAACAACCTGACTGGTAACAACCTGACTGGTAACAACCTGACTGGTAACAACGTGACTGGTAAACAACGTGACTGGTAATAACCTGGCTGGTAACAACGTGACTAGTTAACAACGTGACTGGTAACAACGTGACTGGTAACACGTGACTGGTAACAACCCTGACTGGTAACAAACCTGACTGGTAACAACCTGACTGGTAACAACCTGACTGGTAACAACATGACTGGTAACAACCTGACTGGTAACAACATGACAGGTAACAACGTAACTGGTAACAACATGACTGCGTAACAACCTGACTGGTAACAACATGACAGGTAACAAACGTGACTGGTAACAACATGACCTGGTAACAACCTGACTGGCAACAACATGACAGGTAACAACGTGACTGGTAACAACGTGACTGGTAACAACCTGACTGGTAACAACCTGACTGGTAACAACGTGACTGGTAACAACCTGACTGGTAACAACCTGACTGTTAACAACATGACTGGTAACAACGTGACTGGTAACAACATGACTGGTAACAACCTGACCGGTAACAACCTGACTGGCAACAACCTGACTGCTAACAACATGACTGGTAACAACCTGACTGGTAACAACCTGGCTGGTAACAACCTGACTGGTAACAACCTGACTGGTAACAACCTGACTGGTAACAACCTGACTGGTAACAACCTGACTGGTAACAACCTGACTGGTAACAACGTGACAGGTAGCAACGTGACTGGTAACAACCTGACTGGTAACAACGTGACTGGTAGCAACCTGACTGGTAACAACCTGACTGGTAACAACCTGACTGGTAACAACCTGACTGGTAGCAACCTGACTGGTAGCAACCTGACTGGTAGAAACCTGACTGGTAACAACCTGACTGGTAACAACCTGACTGGTAACAACCTGACTGGTAACAACCTGACTGGTAACAACGTGACAGGTAGCAACGTGATTGGTAACAACCTGACTGGTAACAACCTGACTGGTAGCAACCTGACTGGTAACAACCTGACTGGTAACACCTGAACTGGTAACAACCTGACTGGTAGCAACTGACTGGTAGCAACCTGACTGGTAAACTAACCTGACTGGTAACAACCTGACTGGTACAACCTGACTGGTAACAACCTGACTGGTAACAACCTGACTGGTAACAACCTGACTGGTAACAACAGTGATGGTAACACATGACTGGTAACAACCTGACTGGTAACAACCTGACTGGTAACAACCTGACTGGTAACAACCTGACTGGTAACAACCTGACTGGTAACAACCTGACTGGTAACACCTGTACTGGTAACAACATGACTGGTTAACAACTGACTGGTAACAACTGACTGGTAAAACCTGAATGGTAACAACGTGACTGGTAACAACCTGACTGGTAACAACCTGACTGGTAACAACCTGACTGGTAAGACTTTGAACTGAAATTATGGGCGAGAGATAGAACCTTCACCAATTCTTCTGCTAGACAACCCACTCGGGTTTAGTGCTGAACAGTTATAATAATAATCCAAATAATAATAATAACAATAATAATAATAATAAAAAAAATAATAATTATAATAATAATAATAATATTAATAATAATAATAATAATAGTAATAATAATGATATACTGGATGTAAGTTGATAGACAACAGCCACCCAGGGAGGTACTACCCTCCTGTGGTAGTAGGTTGGTAGACAACAGCCACTCAGGGAGGTACTACCCTCCTGTGGTAGTAGGTTGGTAGACAACAGCCACCCCAGGGAGGTACTACCCTCCTGTGGTAGTAGGTTGGTAGAAACAGCCACCCAGGGAGGTACTACCCTCTGTGATAGTAGGTTGGTAAACAACAGCCACCCAGGGAGGTACTACCCTCCTGTGATAGTAGGTTGGTAAACAACAGCCACCCAGGGAGGTACGTACCTCCTGTGATAGTAGGTTGGTAAACAACAGCCACCCAGGGAGGTACTACCTCCTGTGGTAGTAGGTTGGTAAACAACAGCCACACCAGGGAGGTACTACCCTCTGTGATAGTAGGTTGGTAAACAAACAGCCACACAGGGAGGTGTACTACCCTCCTCTGATAGTAGGTTGGTAAACAACAGCCACCCAGGGAGGTACTACCTCCTGTGATTGTAGGTTGGTAAAACAACAGCCACCCAGGGAGGTACTACCCTCCTGTGATAGTAGGTTGGTAAACAACAGCCACCCAGGGAGGTACTACCCTCCTGTGATAGTAGGTTGGTAAACAACAGCCACCCAGGGAGGTACTACCCTCCTGTGATAGTAGGTTGGTAAACAACAGCCACCCAGGGAGGTACTACCCTCCTGTGATAGTAGGTTGGTAAACAACAGCCACCCAGGGAGGTACTACCCTCCTGTGGTAGTAGGTTGGTAGACAACAGCCACAGGGAGGTACTACCCTCCTGTGATAGTAGGTTGGTAAACAACAGCCACCAGGGAGGTATACCCTCCTGTGATAGTAGGTTGGTAAACAACAGCCACCCAGGGAGGTACTACCTCCTGTGATAGTAAGTTGGTAAACAACAGCACCCAGGGAGGTACTACCCTCCTGTGATAGTAGGTTGGTAAACAACAGCACCCAGGGAGGTACTACCCTCCTGTGATAGTAGGTTGGTAAACAACAGCCACCCAGGGAGGTACTACCCTCCTGTGATAGTAGGTTGGTAAACAACAGCCACCCAGGGAGGTACTACCCTCCTGTGGTAGTAGGTTGGTAGACAACAGCCACTCAGGGAGGTACTACCCTCCTGTGGTAGTAGGTTGGTAGACATCAGCCACCCAGGGAGGTACTACCCTCCTGTGGTAGTAGGTTGGTAGACAACAGCCACCCAGGGAGGTACTACCTCCTGTGGTAGTAGGTTGGTAGACAACAGCCACCAGGGAGGTACTACCCTCCTGTGATAGTAGGTTGGTAACAACAGCCACCCAGGGAGGTACTACCCTCCTGTGATAGTAGGTTGGTAAACAACAGCCACCAGGGAGGTACTACCCTCCTGTGATAGTAGGTTGGTAAACAACAGCCACCCAGGGAGGTACTACCCTCCTGTGATAGTAGGTTGGTAAACAACAGCCACCCAGGGAGGTACTACCTCCTGTGATAGTAGGTTGGTAAACAACAGCCACCCAGGGAGGTACTACCCTCCTGTGATAGTAGGTTGGTAAACAACAGCCACCAGGGGGTACTACCCTCCTGTGGTAGTGGTTGGTAGACAACAGCCACTCAGGGAGGTACTACCCTCCTGTGGTAGTAGGTTGGTAGACAACAGCCACCCAGGGAGGTACTACCCTCCTGTGGTAGTAGGTTGGTAGACAACAACCACTAGGGAGGTACTACCCTCCTGTGATAGTAGGTTGGTAGACAACAGCCACCCAGGAGGTACTACCCTTCCTGTGGTAGTAGGTTGGTAGGACAAACAACCACCTAGGGAGGTACTACCCTCCTGTGATAGTAGGTTGGTAGAAACAGCCACCCAGGGAGGTACTACCCTCCTGTGGTAGTAGGTTGGTAGACAACAACCACCTAGGGAGGTACTACCCTCCTGTGATAGTAGGTTGGTAGACAACAGCCACCCAGGGAGGTACTACCCTCCTGTGGTAGTAGGTTGGTAGACAACAACCACCTAGGGAGGTACTACCCTCCTGTGATAGTAGGTTGGTAGACAACAGCCACTCAGGGAGGTACTACCCTCCTGTGGTAGTAGGTTTGTAGACAACAGCCACCAGGGAGGTACTACCCTCTGAGGTAGTAGGTTGGTAGACAACAGCCACCCAGGGAGGTACTACCCTCCTGTGGTAGTAGGTTGGTAGACAACAGCCACTCAGGGAGGTACTACCCTCCTGTGGTAGTAGGTTGGTAGACAACAGCCACCCAGGGAGGTACTACCCTCCTGTGGTAGTAGGTTGGTAGACAACAGCCACTCAGGGAGGTACTACCCTCCTGTGGTAGTAGGTTGGTAGACAACAGCCACCCAAGGAGGGTACTACCTCCTGTGGTAGTAGGTTGGTAGACAACAGCCACCCAGGGAGGTACTACCTCCTGTGGAAGTAGGTTGGTAGACAACAGCCACCCAGGGAGGTACTACCCTCCTGTGGTAGTAGGTTGGTAGACAACAACCACCTAGGGAGGTACTACCCTCCTGTGATAGTAGGTTGGTAGACAACAGCCACTCAGGGAGGTACTACCCTCCTGTGGTAGTAGGTTGGTAGACAACAGCCACCCAGGGAGGTACTACCCTCCTGTGGTAGTAGGTTGGTAGACAACAGCCACCAGGGAGGTACAACCCTCCTGTGGTAGTAGGTTGGTAGACAACAGCCACCCAGGGAGGTACTACCCTCCTGTGGTAGTAGGTTGGTAGAAAACAGCCACCCAGGGAGGTACTACCCTCCTGTGGTAGTAGGTTGGTAGACAACAACCACCCAGGGAGGTACTACCGTCCTGTGGTAGCAGGTTGGTAGACAACAGCCACCCAGGGAGGTACTACCCTCCTGTGGTAGTAGGTTGGTAGACAACAACCACCCAGGGAGGTACTACCCTCCTGTGGTAGTAGGTTGGTAGACAACAGCCACCAGGAGGGACTACCCTCCCGTGGGAGTAGGTTGGGGAAACACCCCGGGGGGGGTACTCCCTCCTGTGGTAGGGTTGGTAGAATAACCACCCCGGGGACTACCGTCCTTGGTAGAGGTTGGTAGACAACACCCCCAGGGAGGTACT